TAGTCAGAAAATTGAACTAGATAACCATTCTGAACCTTCAACTCTGCCCCTCAATAAGTATCAACTCACAAGAGACATGCAGAGAAGGCGGATCAAACGTCTTGCCAAGTTTGATAGTGAAGATTTTTGTTATACTATTCACTTATCACAAAAATGCTGAAAATAAACCTAACTCCTATGATGATGCTATTAAGGGTAAAAGATTCTAAGAAATGGTTAGCTGCTATGGAAGAATAAATGACTAAACAGTTCAATAATGGAATGCCATGTGGCATTATGTCGGGACATCTAGCACTATAGCATGATTCTTAATTATTAGTTAAGAGTTTAGGGATCAAGTGTGTGATTTCAATGAAGACAAGGATTAGATTTGGTCTACGGTTTTACTTTTTATTAAAAGAATTAATGAAATTGGGAAATTTTCTTTAATTCTAGATCAAATCTTAGACAGAGAATTTCATAGAGAAAGTTGGGATAAATCGGATTCATGGTATCATTATTCTTGATACTGTTGACCAAAAAATAGAACAGAAAATCGATCGATTAGATAAAAAAATAGTATTTTATTTTGAAACAACGAGCTGGTTAATCAAATCAATTATTTGGTTTCCGTATTCCTAAATTCGCTGCATTATTTTTTAATCAGAATATTTTTTTAAAAAAATCTTTGTTCATATTTATTTCACTCTTTTGGCTACATTGTTCAGTCAACCTATATTGAGTCCGGTATAAAAAATATGCAGATAAATATTTTTGCATTAATTTTCATTGTCCCATGAAATGGAAATTGGGAAAGAACAATCAAAACGAATGGAAAACTTAACACAAGTTTCATTAGAGTGCAAATTATGCAAAGACAATAATTCCACATATATACAAGGCCATGATAATCAAAAGAAAAACAAAACACTATTTACTAACAAGTCAAGAAACTGCTCAAAAAGAAAAGACCCAAAAAACGGATATCACTTTCTTCACACGGAGGAATGACTCAAGTCTTGAAGCTAAGTCAACTCTCCTATCCTACTCGTGATTACAGGATACTGATTAGGGTTCTTTATTTACAAAAAGTCCATTTTACCCTCACAAAATTATCGTTTTTCTCTTCGAAGGGTCAACGATCCAAAGCACTTAGCACAATCCTGTCAACGCAAGTTTGTACAAGTTAGTGAATTAATGTATAATAAGCCAAATAAGAACTAAATTCTCTCTAAATTCCTGGTCGATGATCAAGTACACAGTTGATCGAGTCTTGAGTAATATGTAATTGAAGGAAAGGGTAAAAAGGCGAAGAAGAGACAACTAACCAATCATAATCAGTTGGACTCTTTCGATCAGATTGATGCATTGCAGCCGAGGTTGATTTTCTCCTCGTCAATTTCTTGAAGTTCCCACCAGGAGTGCTTGCTAAAATGCACCCACAAGAAAACCAATATAAAAAAATTTGCCCGAAAATTGAACATATAGCACATTGAATTAAACCATATCAATATGAAATGAAAGTGACAATCTTAGCTGGATAATATTATGGTGGCTTGAACTAAAACTCAAAAAGCTTTTTCAACGAACCCCTAAATATTAGCCATGTTTGGTAGATATTAAAATCAGATTTTTAGTAGATTTTAATAAAAATTGATGAAATGTGTGGTTAAAAAGTTGTGGATCCCATGAAATGTTTATATGTGGTTAAAATTAATTATTGACTTTGACTTTAGATTTTAATTAGATTTTAATCAAAACCAAACAAAGGCTAAATAACATTCTTTTTTAGTAGTGATGACCAAATACTTCGACTTGAATTCCTCGAACCCACTTCGAATATTTGTATTTTTTTTCATTTTTGTTTCTAAACTTAAACGTTATTAAAATAATTAAATGATTAAATTGTATTATAAATGAAATTATTTTAATCCCGCCCCCGTCTAGGCGTCTAGCCTCCCAAAAATCTTCGATGATGACGGACACAAGGGGTAGTCCTAGCACTGCCTCGTTGTCATCCTTACTTTTGTACTAAATTATTTATAGGTCTTGTTACCCATATGCCAACCTCAACCCCTAACTACAGAACCACAAAACTTCCATGCAAGGGTTAATAAAACTGAATTCTTACGTGAAAATGGCGATATGGGAGTGCTGGAACCAGCAGGAGAATTCGGGGCCGATCTAGAGTCGAGAGAAGTATTAAGGTTATGCGGCGAGCCAGGGTTGGCTCGGAGAATAGTGATGCTCCGAGAAATCGGGATTTGATCATCAAGTGCTGGAGGAATGACAACAGACGGCGGAGCAGCAGTGGATCTAGCGGCAGCGGCGGCGGCGGGTAAAGAATTGTATTTTCGGAGTTTTCCGAGGCCGGAATCCGGCGTTGGTCCGGCGAGCGTTTCGTCCCAAAGCTTGTGAAGAAAACCCATGATTTTAACAATAAAAATGAATTAAAACCGTTTTTTTTTGGTAGTTTTTATTATTTTTTTGAGAAAAAAAAAAATCTTTTGTAACAACCGAAAAAAGATGATGTTTCACCAGGTTCAGACGTGAAAAAACGGTGGTGGCGCAGCACCTGTTATACGACTGTTACAAAGAAGGAAGAAGGAGGAGGAGAGAGAAACTAAATACTGTTTGATGTAATCTGATTTTCTTGTGAATAATTGTAAAGAGAAATTAGGGTTCTTAAATAGAGAAAAAATGGCGGATTTAGATTAAAAAATAAATGTATGGGTTCTGGATTAATGTATGGCTCCGGCTAATATGGCTTTGTTTGAAGCCACTGAAAATTTATTGGAAATGCAAATCTTGACAAAACAAAAATAGGATAAACCAATCAATTTTGTGAGAAATATGATCCTCAAATGATTATTGGTTTTCATTTGTGCGCAATTAATAGCAGAAATTACCTATAAAAACATTTTCATTTATAAGGAATTAATGGTAGAAAATCCCTCTAAAAACGTTTTCATGTACAATATACCCCTACCTATTGGAAATTGTATGAAACCCCATGTTTGAAACCTTTAGTGCGAAAAACCCCGATGCTGTCAAAATTAGTTAGATTTGTCGTTTAAAATAGTAAAAAATGTCAAAACTAAAAAAAAATAATTGCAATTTCAATACTCAAACTTTTTTACCTTTTTACAAATTAAATCTAATGTTTTTATATGCGTACATATAATCTCAAATTTTTAAGATTTTCTTTTCCACCCCACCCTACTTCGTCCTCTTTTCCAAAAAATAAAAAAAAATAAAAAGAAAGGTTTCGTCCTCCCTACCCGAAGCCATAGCGCTACATCCTCCTCATGTACCTCCCTTGGCCACAATCAACATAGGCAAGTAGTACCCATCGACGAGGCTAACATCATAAAATTATAGACCTTGGTCGTCGTTGAGTTCTGCAAACGTGGCGAGAGGTATGGCTCCAGCTCCGGCTCTGGCGCAGGCACTCTCCACGTTGCCAGATCCAAAGTCAGCTGTAGTGCAAGTGAATTTCCTAGTGTCAAGGTGGCCAAAATAGTGGGTCCTTCCCCAAACCCGAACCGACCAGGACCGTGTCCGTGGGTACTTGGGGATTCCTTGATTTGCTGCTCTTGAGAAAGAAACCAGAATGAAACCGGACGTGGGTACTGTGAAGTCAAAATTTGTTTTCAAAATCCATCAAAACTATTTTCAATTCTCATTTTACATGTTGATAATTCTCTTGATAGAACGAGGGGCATCAGGAAAAGTGTATAAAGTTGTACTTAGCAATGGTGAGATAATTGCGGTAAAAAAATGCTATGTATTAGAACATATTAATTCAGTCATCACATTATATCAGTATTCAATTTTATCTTTTCTTGTTAGTTTGTTTTCTCAGTTTACCAGTTGTTTCTTGACAGCTGGACAATTAGTTAGTTTTGGCGCCTCTTTCCTGTGTTGTATATATATGTGCCTTCGTGTAATCTTTTCTCTCGAGTAATGAAGATTCCACATTCATAATCTCCTTCCCTGTGAATCTAATATGGTATCAGAGCGAACAATTCCAGTTTGCGTCTTCTGATTGTGCTCTTTCTGGTTATTTCTCAATTCTGTTTTGCACATAAAATCGATGGATCCGATACGACCTAATACAGGTTCAGATTTGCAGCCATCGACGGGGAAATCTGCCATTGGCGAACCCTCAAGGCCCTACTACTTGCATCACTCTGACAGTCCTGGACTTATTCTCGTATCTCAGCCGCTCACAGGAGATAATTATACATCCTGGAGCCGTGCAATAACCATTGCCCTTTTGGTGAAGAACAAGCTCTCTTTCATTGATGGATCCATGAAGAAACCTGAAGATGATGATCCAGATGCAAGCCCTGACTTGGTCAGTTCCTAGATCCACAACAATAATATGGTAATTTCAGGGATACTTAAAACTCAGTTTCTAAGGAGATTTCAACAAGTATTATCTATGCATCTACTGCCTTTGAGATCTGGAATGATCTCAGAGAAAGATTTCAACAAAGCAATGAGCCACGAATCTTTCAATTGAGAAAGGATCTGATGAATTTGACACAAGATCAGAATAATGTTGGTGTATATTACACGAAATTGAAGACTATATGGGAGGAGTTAAGCAATTTTAGACCTGCCTGCAGCTGTGGAAAATGCACCTGCGGTGGTGTTAAGCAGTTGAACATGTATTTTCAGATGGACTATATCATGTCTTTCCTCATGGGGTTAAACGACTCTTTTTCACAAGCCAGAGGTCAGATCCTTCTTATGGATCTGATGCCACCTATTAACAAGGTCTTTTCTCTAATATCACAGGAAGAAAATCAGAAGAAGCTCAGTACACATTTATATACAAATGATGCTAATAATGCACCTGCATTTGCCTTAAGATCTGATAATTCAAAGCCTGCCTTCAGTCCTCATTTTCGTGGTGATGGTAATAGGTTTGGTAACTATAATGATTTCAGAAGGAGGAAAAACCTTATTGTAGTCATTGTAAATTTCATGGCCATTCCATAGACAAGTGCTATAAAATCCATGGATATCCTCCAGGATTTAAGTCTAAACAGAAGGATAATTTCCAGAATCAAAACGTTTTTAACTCTGTTAATCAATTAACAGCTTCTCATCATGTTGAACAGCAACCAAGCATGGAGACTTTTATGCAGAACCTGAATGCCAGTCAGTACCAACAACTAATGCACATGTTATCTAGTCACCTAACTACAAGCTCAAATGCTGATACTAGTACTCAAAACGGGCACATCACTTCAGGTACTTCAGGTACATGCCACTCTATTTCAGTTAATCCTATTTTTGCTACTAAGGATTTGTGGATAATAGACTCAGGAGCCACAAGACATGTGTGCTCCATTGCTGATGCTTTTGTAAAGTTGAGGCCAGTTGATAATGCAAGTATCATATTACCAAATCACACAAGAATCTCTATCAGTTTATGTGGGGATATCAGACTGAGTCCAACTTTGTTGCTGCATAATGTGTTATTTGTTCCAGAATTCAAATTCAATCTGCTGTCTGTCGTGCATTAACTGTTGAATCTCAGCTCACTTTAAGCTTCTTTCATAATCATTTCGTCATTCAGGAGGCAGCCACCAGGAAGATGATTGGCAAGGGTAGCAAAGTTCAAGAATTATATGTTTTTAATGTCAGGGAGATTAATTCAGTTTCAGATGTTTTTATTGGTAATATTTCTGCTCATGTATGGCATAATAGACTTGGTCACTTATCTTTCAAAAGATTAAATGTGTTGAAAGATCTCGTAGGTTGTGATATTTCCAAATTGAATAAACACCTCCCTTGTTATATTTGTCCTATTGCAAAACAGAGAAGGTTATCTTTTGAATCAAATAACAAGATGTCTGGCAAACCATTTGACATTTTACATTGTGATGTATGGGGGCCATACCATGTTCCTTCTTATTCAGGACATAAATATTTCTTGACATTGGTGGATGATTGCTCTAGGTTTACTTGGATCTACATGTTGAGACAAAAATCAGATGCTGTGAATGCAGTACATCGATTTTTTAACATGGTTAATACACAATTTAATACCACAATCAAAAGGTTCAAGTCAGACAATGCTCAGGAGTTATCCTTCAGGGAATTTTTTGCTGAAAAAGGAGTAGAACATCAATTTAGTTGCATTGAAACTCCTCAACAAAACTCAGTGGTCGAACGTAAACACCAGCATCTTTTAAATGTGGCTCGAGCCCTGTATTTTCAGTCCAGAATTTCTGTGACTTATTGGACTGAGTACATATTAACAACAGCTTATATTATCAATAGAACACCCTCTCCTTTACTTCGACATAAAACTCCTTATGACATTTTACATGGCTGCAGTGCTGACTATTCTATCATGAGGGTCTTTGGATGTTTGGTTTTTGCATCTACTCTCAGATCACATAGGGACAAGTTCCAGCCACGTGCAAAGTTATGTGTTTTTATAGGGTATCCATCGAGAATTAAAGGGTACAAATTGCTTGACACTGAATCAAGACAGATTTTTGTGTCCAGAGATGTTGTGTTCCATGAAGAGGTATTTCCATTTTACACTATTACTGATTCTGATGAGTTACTAGACCCCTTTCCTGATCTCATTTTACCACTATCTTCTACAATTCATTTTGCAGAAGATTCTCCTTCTCCTTCATCTGTTGTTCCTCACAGTGTTCCTTCACCAGATGAGTTCCCTACACCTAATAATGATCAAATTTATTCTGAGTTACATTCCCCTTCACTCCCGATAACATCTAATACTCCAGCTACTTCTCCTTCTCGCATGCCTTACACTCAGGATATTCGAAAAACTCAAAGAACCTCTAGACCACCAAAATACCTCATTGACTATCACTGCAACTTACTTACTCAGTCTGATAATCCTGTTCTTCATTCACAGTTTCACATCAGCCATTTCATCACATACCAACATCTGTCTGCCCCTTACAGGAACCTTATTCTGAACATTTCAGCTCATTTTGAGCCTCAATTTTTCCATCAGGCTATAAAACTCCCACAATGGATTGATGCCATGAAACTTGAGTTGGATGCCATGGAACTTAATCGCACCTGGTCTGTGGTGTCTTTACCTCCTGGAAAACACTCAGTTGGATGTCGATGGATATATAAAAATAAATACAATTCTGATGGATCCCTTGAAAGGCATAAGGCTCGCCTTGTTGCGAAAGGCTACACACAAAGGGAGGGCTTGGATTATTTTGATACCTTCTCCCATGTAGCAAAGAATGTGACCATTAAAGTATTGATTACTCTTGCTGCTCATCAGAATTGGCACATTTTTCAGTTAGATGTGAACAATGCGTTCCTAAATGGAGATCTATTTGAGGAGGTCTACATGGATCTACCTCTTGGCTATGAGACTCTCACGTCCTTCGAGAAAGGAGAGAAAATGGTATGTAAGTTACATAAGTCCATCTATGGACTCAAACAAGCCTCCCGGCAGTGGAATGAAAAGTTCACCACTTCTCTGATTCAATTTGGGTTCACTCAGTCTAAGGCTGACTACTCCCTCTTCACTAAAGGCAATGGGGACAACTTCTTGGCTTTAATAGTATATGTGGACGACATTGTAATCACTAGTCCAAATATGAAGATGATCACTTCGTTGAAAACTTTCTTACAGTCTCAGTTCAAGCTCAAAGATTTGGGACACTTAAAATATTTTTTGGGGATAAAAATTGCACGTTCAGCTTTAGGGATTGTTATATCTCAGAGACAATATACTTTGCAATTGCTGGAGGATGCCAATTATTTGGATTGTAAATCAGCAACTAGTCCTATGGAGACAAAGTCCGTTCTCAGCCTTCATGAAGGTGAATTGTTACTGGATCCTACTATATATCGCAGGCTGATTGGGAAGCTTATATATTTGACATTATCAAGGCCTGACATTACTTTTGCGGTACATAAATTGAGTCAATTTGCTGCACAGCCTAGATTACCGCACTTGAAGGAAATTCATCATCTCTTACGGTATCTAAAGGGGAATCCTGGCCAGTGCATTTTCTTCTCTTCACAGCAGTTGTCTAGAACCCCTTTAACTGTCCGTGCTTTCTCTGATGCTGACTAGGGGTCGTGTGTTGATACAAGAAAATCTACTACCGGTTTCTGTGTTTTTGTTGGTGATTCCATGGTGTATTGGAAGTCGAAAAGGCAGCAAACCATTTCTCGTTCTTCTGCTGAAGCGGAGTACAGAGCCATTGCAGCCACTGTTAGTGAGATCCTTTGGATTCATCAGCTCCTGAAAGATTTTGGGGTTCCTATCGCATCACCAGCTACCATCTATTGCGACAATCAGGCTGCCATTCAGATAGCCACCAATCCCATATTCCACGAAAGGACAAAACCTATCGAAATTTACTGTCATTTCATCCGAGACAAAATAACTGCTGGCATTGTGAAACTTCTTCCTATTCGTTCCAAGTTTCAGCTTGCAGATGCTTTCACGAAAGCCCTTCTAGCTACATCTTTACTTCCTTTGTTGTCCAAGATGTGTGTCAAGAATATTTACGGCACATCTTGAGGGAGCGTATTAGAACATATTATTTCAGTCATCACATTATATCATTATTCAATTTTATCTTTTCTTGTTAGTTTGTTTTCTCAGTTTACCAGTTGTTTCTTGACAGCTAGACAATTAGTTAGTTTTGGCGCCTCTTTCCTGTGTTGTATATATATGTGCCTTCGTGTAATCTTTTCTCTCGAGTAATGAAGATTCCACATTCATAATCTCCTTCCCTGTGAATCTAATACTATGTGAAAGATAGGACAAGATTGAAGACGAGTTTAAGATTGAAGTCGAGACTCTGGGAAATGTTCAGCCAATAATATTGTGAAATTATGATGATCTTCCACTACAGGAAGTTACAAGCTACTAGTGTATGAATACATGCCTAATGGAAACTTAAGTGATTTACTGCGTATTAACAAGATTAAATTGTTGACTTGGAGGACTAGGTTCAAGATTGTGTTGGATGCCGTTGAAAGGCTCTCGTATTTGCACTAGCCAGGCATGCCTGTTGTTGAGTATTTTTGGGGAAGAAAATGAAGTGAAGCGGGTTAGGGCAGGGCGACAAATAAAGTTTTATAGATTTGAGATTGTGATAACATATATAAAAAAAAAAAATTTAATTTAATTTGTAAAATGATAAAAAGTTTGAGTACTGAAATTGCAATTATTCATTTTTTATTTTGACATTTTTTTTATTGTTTTTAACGGCAAATCTAACGAATCTTAACGATTGGAGATATTTCGCACAAAACTTAACGATATATCGCAAACGAAAACTCTTTGCAATTAATCCTTTAAATAGTAATAAATAACTAAGTGGCTCGAATAGAAGGTGACTGATGTCCAAGAATGAAAAACTGACCAATGCTAATAAAACATCTAGACCTGTTCTGAAATCTGGCGTAATCAACGATCTGAAAAAAGACAAGAGGCCATCATGATTCTTTATAAACAAGACAATACTGTAGAAAAAGGGGTCAAAAAAGCCTCATCCAGAGAAAGAGAAAGTCAAAATATATTTTGCCATTATTCTGATACTAATTAATGCTATCCATGCACTGTTGCAATCTTCTATTTATCTAAAAACTCGAAACTCCGACACCCCATGACCATGACCATGAGTATCTACTATCAACTCTTATTCTTTCAGCATTTTACGTGACTGACAGAGTAAAAGATGTGACAGACAGATGCGCTTATAGGGCTTTGTTGTTCAGTCACATTACTTCCACTGTCATTTCTGCTCTTTACAAAATATTATTAAATATTCTATTAAAGTTGATTAGAAAGAATCGTTTTAATACAATGATTAACGTTACACCACATTAGAAGACTAAAAAATTATGAAATTATTTCTTTTATAAGAACTTTTTTAATAATTTATTGTACAATTTTTTTATTTTTTATTTTTTACTTATAAAAGAAATTTTTACATATAAGTAAATATTTATGATGAGTGAATTTTTTTAGCTTAAAAGTGAAATTTTTACTTAAAATTCTTAACTAATAAGCCAGCTTCATTATTCAAAAACTAGTTTTTTTATTTATTTATTTTCAATCACACATTCTTCTAATAAAATAATTTGTACGTAAATTCAGAATTTTTTAATGGTAAATTGTATTTTTTTTCACCCATGTGCAATTTTTTTTTATGTATAAGTGAATTTCTATTTTAAGGTATTTTTTGCTTATAAGAAAAGTTTTTAGTTACGAAGTGATTTTTATTAATAATTGATATTTTTTATTTATACACAATTTTTACATATAAGTGATTTTTTCTTTATAAGTAAATTTTTTTTCTCATACAAATTTCGATTGTACTACATATATATATCACAACTTAAAAATTTGTTTATCAACATATGATAGATCGAGATTTGATTGAATCAAAATCTCATCATCCAAATAAAAAAAATATTTCCCACTTTCTTTTTGATACCTCATCAAGCTATACAAAAATATGCAAATGGTGGTGTATAACAAGCATTTTCCTACAAGCATTTTCTTATAAATGAATTTTTAAATCGATTTCTTTTGTAAATAAATGATTTCTAGTTATAAATTCTTAACTCTTATTTACTTGCATGTAAATTTATGTAAATACTACGATTTAAACCAACTACTGCATGACATATTAATTATATAAAATTAAATAAAAGAAAATTAATCCATGAATAATTTAATAATTATCCACATGTTTGATGTGGATTAAAATCAAAGTTTTAGTAGATTTTAATAAATAATGATAAATTGTGTGGTTGAAAAGTTGTGGAACCCATTGAGTATGTGATTAAAATTGATTGTTAATTTTGACTTAAATTAAAATCTGAATTTAAATCATTACTAAACAAGTGCCAAATAAAATTATTTTAATAGTTATCCAATCTAATTCGACCGCCTAACGTGTCCATAGATTACATATATGGCTAGACACGATCTAGTTCAGTTCGAACCCGAATTTTCGCATATTTAATAAGTGGAATCGTCGGTCCAAATTTAATTATGGAACCGTTATGGCTCAGTTTCATTCGGTTCTCGATATTCTTACAATAATTATTTTTTAATATTTACACAACGATACATTAATTGAACTAATGACATATTCAATCTTAACTCTTATAAAATCACGTAGTCAAATCCCATGATATCTTTTGCACATCTCTTTTTTGAGTTTATCATAGATTTAACTACTAGAATCACATGAGGAGGATAATAGCGAGCTCTCAATAATGAAGAGAAACACAGTCGAGCTTCAAATTTGACTTTTCCATAATGGTAGTAACAATACTACTGTATAATCAGAGATTTGGGTAAAATTTAGGTAAATTTGATTAAGTTGGACTTTACTGGAAATTAGAAATAGGAAAATCATATTTTGGATTTGGACTAAATTAATTAGTTAGCAAATTTATTTAGAAAAAAATAAAATAATTTAACTTATTTAAGATAAAAAGTTTAAAAAAATTAATGAGATTCGATTCTTATTCGTTGATTCGATTATTGGTCAAAAATCGAGAACCAAATCAAACTCGTTGGTTATCGACTCAAATATCCGTTCGGATATTTAACTTAAAAAGAACCGCTCGATTTGATTCATTTTAGTTTGGGTCTACTTCGATTCAGGGGCTTTGTCCAATCTTAATTAACAATTTAATTTTTGGCTAAATCAAATTGGGCTTAATTTAATAAATTATTTGTCTTCATTCTTCAGAGAAAATAATAAGAGTATCTCCAAAAGATCATTTATTTATAA